TAGGCTTTGAATAAAGCAGATTCTTCTCCATATTGTGGGTGGGCCTCACCCAATCAGTTGAAGACCTTAAGGACAAAGTAAAGAGGTAGAAGGACTTTTCTTTAAGACAGTGACCTGCTTGAGTTTCAAGCCCATGCCCTGCAGAATTTGGACTCAAGATCACAACATCAACTCCTGAATTTCCGGCCTGCCAGCCTGCCCTATGGTTTTGGATTTGCCAGCCCCCACAACTGTGTGAGTCAATTCCTTAAAATCAATTGATCTCTATATATACAGATATAGATATAGGTTCTGTTTTTCTGGACAACCCTTAACTAATACAGATATAGCTATTGGGAAGTGAGAAGCTGCTGTAACAAATACTTAAAAATCTAGAAGTGGCTTCGAAATTGGGTAACGGGTAGAGGGTGGAAGAATTCTGAGCTGCATGGTAGACAAAGCCTATCCTGCCTTGAAGAAACTGTTGGTAGAAATGCAGATATTAAAGAGTATCTGGTGAGGCTCACAAAGGAAAGGGGAGCTGTAGACAGAGCATCTACTGTCCTAGAGAATACATACATTGTCATCACCAGAACGCTGTGTTGAAGGTGCGTTTGCTGAAGTCTTGGGCAAAAAGGGGAGTGTGTTATTAGAAACTGAAAGATGACTCTCGTTATAAAGCACACAGGACTTGACCGAATTGTGCTCTGCTGGATGGAAAGCAGAACTTGTAAGCAATGAACTGGATGTTTAGCTGAGGAGATTTCTAAGCAAAAGCAAATGGCCTGGTTCCTCCTTGCTGCTTACAGTAAAATGGTAGAGGAGGGAGCTAAAATTGAGGGAACTGTTATGCAAAAAGGAAGCAGAATTTGAAGATTTGGAAAATTCTCAGCCTATCCATATTATAAATAATGAGAAAGCTTGCTCTGGGGAGAACACCAAGGGACAACTGTTTACATGATCAACCATGTCAGCAGAAATGCTGACAGCTTGGACTGAAGGGGACAGAGATGGGACAGAGTGAAGAAAGGCTGTCAGGCTTCTGGAATTCTCCCAGCAGGAAAGGGGCAAGAGAGCTATCGGGGAAAGGGAAGAATGGGCCCGGGGATGGGGCAACTTTCTTGGTTTTAGAGGGCAGGGCTCCCCCCAAGGCTGGGGTGGGGGGAGGAGGCACCACTGTGGTGGGCCCAAAGGACAGAGCATCTAGCCAAAGAATGTGATTCTCAAGCATTAAAAATCTAATGGAATTTGCCCTTCTAGGTTTGGACTTGTTTGGAACTCATTACCTCTTTCTCCCTTCCGATGTTCTCCCTTTTGCAATGGGAATGTCTATCCTGTGCCTGTTCAAACATTACATATTGTGGCAGATAACTTGGTTCATTACCTGGAGAGGAGTCCTGCTCTGGGATGAATTATACCCAAGTTTTACCCATACCTGATTTAGATCTTTGAGATGAGATTTTTGAACTTATGAGTTTATGTTGGAATGGGTTAGGATTTTGGGGGTGTTGGGAAGGGATGAATTTATTTTGCATGTGAGAAAGACATGAATTTTTGGACCAGATTGTTAATGGGTTGAACTGTATCCTCCCAAATTCGTATGTTCTAGCCCTAACCTCCAATGTGATGGTATTTGGAGTTGGGGCCTTCTGGAGATAATTAGATTTAGAGGAGGTCATGAGGATAGGGGTAATGGGATGAGTGCCCTTATAAAAAGGAGAGACAGCAGAGAGCTTGTGTGTGTGTGTTCACACTCTCTCTGCCACACGAGGCAGCAAAAGGGCAGCCATCTGCAAACCAAGAAGAAAGCTCTCTTCACACTCTGACCACGTTCACCCTGATTTCAGACTTCCAGCCTCAGAACTGCTAGGAATGAATTTCTGTTGGTTGAGCCACTGAGGTATGGTATTTTGTTATGGTAGCCTGAGAAGAGTAATAGGGTAACATTATTTGGAGTCAGGATCATTGCAGGTGTAATCAGTTAACTGAGGATGAGTCAGTAGGTTGGGCCCTACTGCAGTATCCCTGGTGTCCTTAGAACCGGGGGAGGTGTAGATACAGACAGACAGAGAGAGAAGATGATGTGAAGACACAGAGAGAAGACGGCCATCTCTAAGCCAAGGAGAGAGGCCTGGAACAGACCCTTCCCTCAACAGCCCTCAGAAGGAACTGGCCCTGCCAACATGCTGATTTCAGACTTCTCACCTCCAGAACTGTGAGACAACAGATATCCTATTATTTAAGTCACCCAGTTTTGTGGCATTTTGTTGCAGCATTCCTAGCAAACGAATGCATACGTCTGAGAAACCTTGAGTAACCTGAATTCCTAATGGGAAATACAGAACTTGTGTAAACCATGATTGTGTGAGGAGATGCCAGACACGTTGTTATAATAATAAATAACCCTCTATGTTAATGTTCTCCATTTTAATAAATGAACGTAAGTTTGGGGAATGAACATTTGCCATGACTATTAGGATTCAAAATCATGAATATACTAGTCATTCTTCTCTGTTACGGATATTTGAAGGTTTGGGTATTTACTGTTTAGGCAAAATACTATAATTTCTTTTTACTGCACTCTGTATTAAATTGAAGTTGAAACTAACACTTGTACGGGGCTTGGTATTTTAGAAGAATATCCAATATGTTCTCTTAAAATAATGCCAGATGTCCACATTAATTTAGATATTGGCTGATACAATGTATTATTTTATGACAAGCAATGCAAACTAAACTGAATATATTATAAAACTTAAAAATATTATTATCAAGACCTTTTAGAGTTTATGATATTAAAAAATGCTGATTTTATATTCAGCAGTAAGCTACTGAATTCAAGTATTTGGTTTTCAGTTACAAAAGAAAGTACTTTAAAGACTATGATAGAAACTGATGTCAATGCTTTTAATACAATCTCCATAGCAACATGGGAAGGAACAAAGTCTGGTGGACCAAATGAAAGCCACAAACTCTCAATTTCAACCCTAGCATTAACTCACCACAGAAAGCCATGTTTATATCTTGGCATTTCATCTTTGCTATAAACACAGGCACTTCTGGCTTTGCTCAACAAACGGGCATTGCCTAAGTCCTATGTACTGGATATATTCATTTTATTAAGCTAATACTATTATATTTATGTTCTGAAACAATATAAGATTATTCACACTGAATTTCTAGGTTGTAGCAGAGAAATAAGTAACAGCAAATAAAATATTCAAATACTGAATACATTCCCCAAATTTCACATAAAGATAACACAAAAAAATGACTTCATTTGAAGGATCTACTTTATTTTCACAAATTAATTACCATGATAAAAAGAGAGTCTAACTTTTTGAATAGGTATTCAGAATTTTATCAGCTACTGATAGAGTATCCTGACCATATGGAATTGTCTTCATTTTCATATTTTCAGTAAGAAAACGTCTTCAATAGAAAATTATACAATAATGTATAAGGGTTTTACTATGGTTTAATGAATTAGATAAGATTATCCTAGGATGGTATCTTACTGATATGAAGAGCATTTGCTAAACATACACACATAAGAAATTTCAAGAAGCCTCTGAGCTAAAAAAAAAAATAGATTACAATAGTTAATATTAGTATTTATTACATGCCTGGGCTCTTTCCATGACTGATCTCATTTAGCCTCACAACGACCTTATTAAGTAGACATTATTATTATGCTCACTTTATTAATGAGAGCCTGAAGCTCAGAGATGTTAAGTGCCTGGCCCAAGGGCTCCCAGTGGAGGAGTGGGAGTCAGGGTGTGTGCACCTGACCGCTAGGCACCATGCCGATTTCATCTGTTCCTTTTATTCGTGGAGTGACGCCCTCAGACGCTGACTCAGTGCTTTTAACTCTATTCTAAATGGCATTCCACCACATTTGGCGATGTGACCACCTCGGACTGGAATTAGCAAATTTAGAAAGGTTTGGAAGAAGGCTTCTTGTGGGCAGGCACAACGAAGCAGGAGACATTAAAAATACAGAAAGGGGAAACGGGAACTGAAAAGTCTAACAAAAGGATTATTCAGGGTAGGAACAAGATAAACGCAGTTTTGCAAGGGAGTGGGGTAGACAGTAGAAGGAACTACCCGTTTGTTGAACACCCATTATAGGTCAAGGTTTTACCTTCACCGTCTGCTAATCCTCACGATGGCCCCACCCAGCAGGCTCTTCTAGCCCCATCCTGAGGCTCAGAGAGGTTCAGCACCCCACCCAGGCTCCCTCCTCATGCTATAAAAATGCTTACAAAGGAAACGCTTCTTGGCACTGAATAGAGTAACAAGTTATCTGAAAAAGTTACTAACCCAAAATACCAACTGATGGATAAGTGAGGTGTTAGAGTGTTTTTTTTTTAACTTTAAAAAATGTAAACTTAGAAAATCCTAAATTTAGAATATCTATATGCTGAGGTTGTGCCAATGGGGGATTTTTCATTTGATGTCCTAATTTTAATTGTCTGGTTTTCTTTTTTTAAACTACCAGTATAGGGGTTTTTACTTGGTGGACATTCTTAGCAAATTCAAGGCACTGTGCCAAGAAATAGAGAGTGGCAAGAGAATGGCATTTGGAAGTGTTAGAAATTCAAAACAGAAACACACACACACACACACACACACGATGTTCAGCCATGCACTTTCAGTTAGCCACGCCAATTAAATAGAAGGGCTGGGCTGGTCCCATTATATAACAAATATTTTGTTCTTACATTCCTTATTGCCTAAAGCCTATTGTGAATAGGGGAATAGCAGGAAAACGCTCCTACAAAGAATGAGCTACTCTAAATAGTATATACAATAAAACTGTTCTGCATATGATCAAAAAAGTAATAAAGGGAAGTCCAGTTTTCTCGTGATGCTGAAAATGTGCTTTTGTTTCGTTCAGCTGTATCTCAGGAAGCGTTCTATGCACCTTGACAGCTGCTGACTTAACAATACTTTCATGCATGGCCTCCCTCCCCCCCTCGCCCAGGTGTAAGCCCTGGTGCCCACTTAGGCGTGATTACCCCTGGTGCAGCCCTGCCATCGGCGTCTCTCTCAAGGGAAAGAGCTTGGGGTAGACAATCGTAAACATGGGCTCACTACACCGGTGACAGTGCCCCAGGGGGCAGTGCAGCAGCTCCAGGAGACTTCTGGGTAACGAGATTGGAGACAGAAAGTTCAAATCTGGAACACAAGAGAAAAAACATGCATGCATAAAAAAATAATCAGATTTCCTTCAACTCCGCTTAAAATATGTTTCTTTGTTACTAAGTCAGTTCAGTTAGTTAGAAAGTATTGCATGTTGAAAATACTGTTATCTGATAGGCACTGAATTATTTGGAAATGAAAGATTTTTTTAACTTTTTTGATACTAAGAGAAAAACCTAAATCTACTCTTTTAAGAGCAAACAGAGGGGCACCTGGGTGGCTCAGTTGGTTAAAGCAACTGCCTTCGGCTCAGGTCATGATCCTGGAGTCCCGGGATCGAGTCCCGCATCGGGCTCCCTGCTCAGCGGGGAGTCTGCTTCTCCCTCTGACCTTCCTCCTTCTCATGCTCTCTGTCTCTCATTCTCTCTCAAATAAATAAATAAAATCTTTAAAAAAAAAAAAAAGAGCAAACAGAAGCTGTCCTGAGGTAGAAGCAAGAAAAGAATATGACCAAATATTCTTTAAGAACAAAGATTTTTTAAAAAGGCATTAATTTACCCAGAGAGGTTTGTAAAACTTTCTATGGGAGACTGAGAATAAAAAAGGACTGGCACCAAAGACTAACATTGACTTTCATTAAATTTTACCTAAATCAATTGGGCATTTAGCATTACTCAAGCTAAATTATATTTACTGAAAAGAATGAAAATGGGAAACAAAGAAATCAAAGGAAAGGAAAAAGAATGAAACCAAGCTTCTCCTTGTTTCATTCCTGCAAGCTGTCATTTATATATAGAGAGGGTGCCTCCTTGTCAGCCTGGCCTGAGCTATACAAGAGAAACATTTAAAGCAAAACATCCCAGTGGCCGAGGCAATCTTGAGCACAAGTGTCCACTGGATTGCCATGGATGGTAAACATCCAGAAGACAGAGAGGGAAATGGGTCACACTGAGGTGAAACCTAAAAAAATTACTGAGTCATCTTTGGGAAGGAAATACAAATGATCTTATCATCCTTTATACCTGTCTGGACTTTATCAATAACCATTTATAAAAATGGAATTTCCCCATAGGTGAATAATTACAGTTTTTTTTTAGTATTAAAAAATAACTTTGTGTTAGGCATTCCTAGAAGGTTAATAGGAGATGTTTTGAATGGATCTTTATTCTTTTTTTTAAAGCAAAAATTAAACATTTAGCAGTTTTGAAAACACTTGGAACGTATCTTATTAAAATTGCCTACTGCTTTCTTAAAGCATCTCCGAGATCCACAATACTGCCTGAAACTCCTGGTATTTCTTCCCCTCTAGGTCTGTAATTTCTCAGATGTGAGGAGGCTGCATGGCGAAAACTTGCTTTGCTGGAAGGGACCCAACTTTGCTTTAAAAAGGATAAGCCTTTGGCACTTTTTTTCCCTCCTCAAGAAAGTGCCTCTGCCAGCCTTCTCACTTCCCCCAGATACGTGCCCAAACACCAATTTCCTCCATTTAAACCACATGGTTTAACTTCTAACCTCAGTCCTTTAGGGCTGGTGCGGAAGGATCAGTGTTGATAAAATATTAAAACTTTTTTTTTAAATGAAAAAAAGTCCCATTGCATAACAATGTGAATGTGCTTAATGCCACTGAACTGAGCATTTTAAAACTGGTTAAAATGGCAAATTTTATGTTATGTATATTTCACCACAATAACAAACACGGACACCCCAACAGGCAGCATGAAGCACAATTTCTAAGGTCACTGAGTAAGAGGCAGAAAGAGAGAAAGTCCCGTGTACCTTTAAGAAAACTGTGGTAGGTGTGATGGAGACTCCTCATGGCCAACTCTTGCAGAGGCAGGACGTGATCATTCTCGGTCCCTATGGCCTTCACCTCGGCAGGGAGGAAAACGGTGAGCTGCCCCGATGAAAAAGAAAGCAGCTTCACCTCGGAAACTTGAATGGGAGCACCACAGCTAGAGAGGCACATTCACAGTAGTATTAGCAAAATAGGAAAAGAATATATGTGCCAATAAAAATGTGTTAATCAAAATATACGTTTAAAATTTTAAGACACTGCTGAATTGCCAGAATTCTTTTCAAAGTGAACAGATGCTAGCCTGGGTTCCTTAATAAAGCCTGGCACAGAAATGTAAACTCATCAGCTGGAACTCAGCTACAGCATTGCTGAGGGCCAGTTCCTTCCAGTAAGGACAAACTCCGAAGGAATTTTCCTTCAGGAGATCTACACAATTTGCTCTGGAAGCTCCCTTTATCCTCATTTTATTACCCTTTCCAAGTTCATGCTTATTGAAATTTTCAAAATGAAAAGGAAAAAAGAGTACTCTGTTAAGTTATAGCACTCTGGTTTAACTGAATTTTTGTGGCGGGGGAAGAAACCCCACAAAGCAAATTGATTTTTAATGGTATAAGATAACTTTATTGGATCCTTCCATAAACTTGTGGGAAAAGATTCATAGTGAAGCCCCCTGAATACATGGCGTCATGACCTCGCCCCTGTAGCCACTCATAACCGGAAAGAAGGCAGAGGCAGCTTTGTTCCTACAGCTGCATGGTTGCCAAAACTAAGGAGTCCAACCTCATCCTACCTCCTCTCCGAGACCACCAGGTTACCTAAAAGTCTTAAGACTTTTCTTCTCTAACGACAAACAGGTGCCAACAAACTTTGGCTCTCCAGATACAATATGAGCTAATCTCTCTGCCCTCCACTAGAATTCTGGCAATGAGGGAGAGGGCACAGGCTTGGGCTCCTTCCACCAGAAAATGTCTCCAGAGCATCAGCTCTATACCAGCCAGTTAAAGATACTTAAAGTAAAACAACAAAAACCAAACCAAAACCAAAACCAAAACAAAATGACTCCTTCCCTTGGAAAATGTAATAATTACAGTATCATTGCTCTAATGTTGGGTCAACGAAGACAGTGACCGACCACCCAGGGAATTAGGGAAGATTTTGCAGAGGAGACAATATCTGACACAACTGACTTCACCCAACCAATTTCTCCCTTGGCTCAAAAGAAAGAACCTCAGAAGACTACTCTGGGACACCCTCCTGAGCAAAACCCATATCCAAAAGGGAACGACTATTTCAAATGTGAACATTATAGTTTGGTTTTGCCTTTTTCAACAGCATGATGCATTCTGTATCTGGCTCCTTTTGTCAACATTATATTTCTGGGATTCATGCATGTTGCTGCATGTACTATAGTTTATTCATTTTCATTGCTGTGTAGTAACTGATAAACATTGGACTGTTTCCAGTGTTGTGCTCTTACGAACATTTTTGTGTCTATTATGTGATACATATGAGCATACAGTCCTGTTAGGTACATATGTAAGATCAGAATTGGGCTTCTTATAGTGAGGAGAGCCAGACGATGAAAAGGTAAATCTATAATAAAACAGAGTGAGAGGGGAGTGAGAGCTGTATTAATCAAAGTAAGTCTTTCTGAGGAGGTGACATCTGAGCAGAGACCCAACTGAAGAGAACAGTTGAATCAGGGAAGAGGAACTCCGTCACAGGATGACAGGCACCTTAAATTGAGGACAAGGAACTAAGAGCTCAGGGAGTCCAAAGCAGCTAGAGGTTGCAGGAGAGAGAACCTCAGAGGAGAGAAATGCACAAAGAAAGAACTCTGGATATCTGCAGAGGGTCCCCCTTGAGTATTCAGATGAGTACTGATCAGCACAGGCATGTGAGGAAACTGTCTGGGGCTGGAGGAAGAACCAGCTGAAAAGACGAAAGGTTTATCTTTTTCATGCAAGGTTGAATACAGTGCTTGTTCTTATCAATCAGACTTGAACCTCACAGTTCATGATGCATTAGGTAGAGTGCATGGAAGGGTGTTATCTCAGTAGTGGGAAATAATTAGCACTAGACTGAACACTATTCTATTCCCATTTAACAAATCCTAAAAGCCCTATCTTAAAAGCTAAAACTGTTCCCAATGAACTTAATGGTGTCCTAGGACATATATCAAGAATAGTTGTATGAATACAAAAACATCCAGCACTCAATGTGGTAAAATTCACACCACCCAGAATCCAATAAAAAATTACCAGACTTTCCAGTAAACAGGAAAATATGACCTATAATGAGAAAAATCATGCAAGTGAAATCAACCAAGAACTGATAGAACTGGCAGTAAAGGTCATTATAATAATTATAATTACTGCCTAGAACAAGGACATGTTACATACGGAGCTCTCATCTAAAGACACTGGAAATAAAAGAGCAAATTAAAACTTAATAGAAGAAAAGAAATAAAGAGCATCAAGAAAATCAATGACACTATACTAGATATTTACCCAAAGGATACAAACATAGTGATTTGAAGGGGCACATGCACCCCAATATTTATAGCAGCAATGTCCACAATAGCCAAACTGTGGAAAGAGCCCAGATGTCCATCGACAGATGAATGGATAAAGAAGATGTGGTGTATATATACATATATACAATGGAATACCACTCAGCCATCATACAGAATGAAATCTTGCCATTTGCAACAACATGGATGGAACCAGAGGGTATTATGCTAAACAAAATAAGTTAGAGAAAGTCAAATACCACATGATCTCACCCATATGTGGAATTTAAGAAACAAAACAGATGAACATAGGAAAAGGGAAGGAAAAATAAAATAAGATAAAAACAGAGAGGGAGGCAAACCATAAGAGACTCTTAACTATAAGAAACAAACTGAGGGTTGCTAGAGGGGAGGTGTGTGGGGGGATGGGGTAACTGGGTGATGGGCATTAAGGAGGGCACTTGATATAATGAGCATTGGATGCTATATGCAACTGATGAATCACTAAATTCTACCCCTGAAACTAAGAATACATATATGTTAACTAAACTGAATTTAAATAAAGAATTAAAAAAATTAATGACATAGAAAACGGGATGATAAAGAAAAATCAATTAAAAGGTAGAACTTTGAAAAAATGAATAAAATTGAAAATTTTCTAACAAGACTCATCAGAGAGAAGACACAAATTATTAATATCAGGAATGAGAATGGAGACATTACCCGGTTTCTACAGATAACAAAAAGGCAATAAGCAATTTTATGCCAATACAAAGTCCTTGAAGGGCAAAGATTACCAAACCTCACTCAAGAGAGAGGTAAGATGAACAGCCCTATATTTATTAAAGAAGTTGAATTTGTAGTTAAAAGGTTGGAATACTTCTCAACTCAATCTATGAAGCCAGCATTATCCTGATACAAAAACCAGACAAACACATTACAAGAGAAAAAAACCCCGAAAAACCCAGCAAAAACCCAAAAAACCCAGCATCACTGTTGAACGTAGTTGGAAAAAACCTAAACAAGATTTCAGCAAATTGAATTCAACAATGTATCAAGTCACTATGACCAAATGAGGTTTATCTTGCCAATTCAGATTGCATTAACATTAGAAATCAATGTAATTCATTTTACTAAAACTTTAAAAAAAGAAAAATCACATAATCATTTCAACAGATACAGAAAAGTTATCTAACAAAATTCAACACCCATTCAAAAAAAATCTTAGCAAATTAGGAAAAGAAGGGAATTTATTCATCTGATAAAAGCTATCTATGACAAAACAACAGTTAATATTATACTTGGTGAAAGACTGTTTTCCCAGTAAGTTCAGCAAGAAAAACATGTCTTCTCTCACTACTTCTATTTAACGTTGTATAGAGCTTATAGCCAGGGTAATAAAGCAAGAAAAAGAAAGAAAAGGCAACCAGGTTTTTTTTTTTTTTTAAAGATTTTATTTATTTATTTGACAGACAGCGAGAGAGGGAACACAAGCAGGGGGAGTGGGAGAGGGAGAAGCAGGCTCCCCGCTGAGCTGGGAGCCCGATGCGGGGCTCGATCCCAGGACCCCGGGATCACGACCCGAGCCGAAGGCAGACGCTTAATGACTGAGCCACCCAGGCGCCCCGGCAACCAGGTTTGTAAGGAAGAAGTAAAACTGCCTTTATTCCCCAAAAGACATTACTGTGTATGTAGAAAGTCCAACAGAATCTACAAAAAAAAAAAAAAACCAAAAAAAAAAAACAACAAAAAGCAAAACAAAACAACAAGAACAACAAAAAACTACTGGGACTATTAAGTGAGCTTAGCAAGTCTGGAGCACACAAGGTCAATATACAAAATCATTTGTACTTCTAGATGGTAGCAATAATCATTGGAAATTGAAAAAAAATTTAAATGCCATATACAATAGAATGAAAAATATGAAAATAATTAGGGAGAAATCTGACCAAAGAAGCCCACAACCTGTTCACTGAAAACTACAAAATACTGCTGAGAAATGAAGACATGTATTGTGATCATGGATTGAAAGGCTCAAAACTGCTAAGACAGTAATTCTCCTCAAATTGATCTATAGATTCAACACAGTTCAAAACCACAGGTTTTTTTAAAAATGTAATTGAAACTCTGATTCTAAAATTTATTGGGAAATGCTAAACAATTAGAATAGCCAAGCAACTCTGAAACAAAATTTGAAGGACTAACACTACCTAATTTTAAGATTTACAGTAAACCTATGGTCATCAAAACAACGTGGTATTGGTGTCAAAACAGACCAATAGATCAATGGAGCAAAGAGAGTTCTGGACATAGACCCATACATTTTAAGGACAACTAATTTTCTTTTCTTTTCTTTTCTTTTAAGATTTTATTTATTTATTTGACAGAGAGAGACACAGCGAGAGAGGGAACACAAGCAGAGGGAGTGGGGGAGGGAGAAGCAGGCTTCCCGCCGAGCAGGGAGCCCAATGCGGGGCTCGATCCCAGGACTCTGGGATCATGACCTCAGCCGAAGGCAGACGCTTAACGACTGAGCCACCCAGGCGCCCCAGGACAACTAATTTTCAACAAAAGTACAAAGGCAATACAGTGGAGAAAGAATAGTATTTTTAATAGATGGTACTGGAACAACTAACTGTATATCC